TTTTAATAAGCCGTCTCGTTAACTCACTCCACGTTAAGAGTTTTTCAGATATCGTTTAGTCGTACAGCTGAAGCCACGTAATACCTAATACCAAAATTTACAGGAAGACGTGCACTACATATTTGTATGCAGTAGTTGTGTAAAAAAATCAATCAAACGAATCTTTTTGTTCAAGTTTCGTCCGACAACTACAAAGTACAATGAGAAATTATTTTACTTCACTATAAAAACAATGGTTCAATACAAATCCAAATTTTATTGTAGATATCGTAATACTATATCGTTCAACTTAGATGTGACGTCATCTGTAGGAAACGTAGAGAGTAACTGCCGATATAGGTAATACGCGACGTGGGATACCGTACAGCAAACGCTGAACTCGTTTAATAGCTAAACAGCATAATATAATATTTTGAGGTTGATACTAGAATTAAAGGCTGTATTCTAAAATCTGCAGGCAACAGAGCGCAATCAAGAGTCGTATCCCTCCAATTGCCGGCGAGAGCGGCTGCTGGCTAATTGTCCATTAACGCGGGGGTCAAAAGCGCAATAATCACTTAGTGAAACCAGGCCACGTAGCACTGCCTACGTTTCAGATTTGTATCGACGTTTGTTTCTGTGTCACTGCACCCCTAACATTTTTTTGTTAACAGCACACCCGAGTTGAAAAATAGTTTGAATTTGATATCACTATATTTTGAACTTTATTGAGATGAAGTCCAAAACAAATAGAAAATATTTTTCACTATCTCAGTTAAAAAGGGTTAAATCGTGACACTTTGGCTGAAAGATTCAAACAACGTGCATAGAAATAACTAACCATTATAAACTTATTTTTATTTACGTACAATTTGTCGGTTATAAAGATTCAATGATTATTATTCATTTCAATGACAAAAATGCCAATTAGAAAAAACATTTAAAAATTAATAATATTATTGCATAATTAGCACATTTAGGTCAGCGATACCTATTTTTGATATGTATCTATTATATTATTTATTACTCATTTAGAATTTCGGTTTTTAATTATAATAATGAAATTATAAAAATGCCATGTTGGGAAGTCGTTAACAGTAGAAGCAGTTGAAATCCTTTGTACCTACTTAGTGATAACACAGAGCGGCGTCACCAAAGCCGAGTAGGGATCTACATTAGGAAGTATCCTCGCATGCGAAGTAATCACAACCTCAATACTGGGCCACGTTAAAAATGCATAGAGAACATGACTTTGTTGTGTCCCAGAGCGCCAGTGCATATTCAGACACGACGCGTGAACGTGAATCGGTTTACGTGTACCATATTGCGGTGAATGTAACGACCCGCCTCACAAAGCCGCCCCAGCGACATTTTGGCGAGAATGACAACTATGTGCAAGCTTCACGACCTACAAAGTGCAACGAAAATGTACTTACGGCCTGATGCAAGAGCGCGACACTCAAAGCGATTTACTTATGAAAATGATGTCTAAAGCTAAATCTATTCATGGCAGTCATTGTCGTTTACCTAACATTCTTACTATGATCTTCAACTTTACTCTGAAGTGTTACCATGTTGAATTTTGCTTAACTGGAACTTGAATTTTAATATTTTTACATGATGTAAGTAACAATACAATTTATTGCAGGTAACTTTCGTTTACACGTAGAGCGACAAAACACCTTGTTTCTTATAATAAAGTTTATGTATGCGCGGAGGTACACAGATTTTCAGGAGAGGTAAGTAGAGGTGCAAAGAAGATACGATATCTGCAATGCTGTTTTAGAAGTACACCAGCCATGATGAAGCTCACTTCAACTCAGAGAGGCAAGACGTGCATACAAACAAAGCATTTGATAGCAAGTTTCACACGTGCTGTAAACGCCACTAAACGCTTTGCTTGTGTAAAGCGAAGTTTCAACTGCTTTGACCCAGACCATTTTAGAGCAAGCTACGAAACTTACTGATAGAAATAAGAAGTAGTTACGGTGTCAATTTCAGAATCGTGAAGGCAACGTATCTGCATAATCTTGCCTCCCCTAACCTCCCCCTCTTTGACTAACGACGCCGCTCTGAGTCGTACAAATAAAAGATGAAACACAGTTTTTGTTGCATTTAAACAAACAGTAGGTAAAGAACAAATACAACAAATATTGCTGAATCCTTTGAGACATTCGTTACACTTATTCTATCTATAACATGCCTTACCTGTAAAAATAAAGAGGCGGAAAATTGCAATAAGCTTAAAAATACTCAACTTAAAAGATACTGTCTTAAAGGCGACTGCAAGAGGCGTTCTAAGAAGCGTTAAGGCCTTCAATTTAATTTTGTCACCTCGCGTCGTTTACTGCGAAAGTGTTACAGTTTTCTCAAATCTAAAATATAAACTGTAGAACACAGTCCGTGGCTCAGAAAAGAACATTTTAGACGACGCTTGTGTGTATCAATGCAAATGTAATATGGCTAGCGAGATGTACCGAATGTTCTGGGTCTTTAAACACCGACAATATATATTTTATTTTAATGTAATATTTACCAATTATAGCAGCATATTACATTAACATTCCTAGTGTATAACCATCGTCTTAACACCTGTCTAGTTAACTCATGGACATTAATGTAAGCACAAAAGTGGTAACTAAGTTTGTTCGTAACGTTTTAAAATACCTAAACTTAACAATGGCACCAAATAATAATGATGTATCGTAATTAAGATATATTTTGTTATTGATTCTAAAATTGTGATAAGTATACGTCATTGATAGTCGACTGTAAAGTAATAAGATACCTAAATTAATTTATACAGACAGAATACATACTAATTCATTGCTATACTTATTATCACGCATCGTTAACAATACCCACTGAAATAGCACCTGACTACATATCTAATTATTTTATAGTCATGCGCCCTCCTGAACGTTGCGTGTTTCGCTCCATAGTTTATAGCCTAGGCTGGCTCACTACGTACGTTATGGGTAACACACGTTACGTGGCTAGCTACGTACTTTAAGCCCTACAAACGCTGCGTAGCGAACTATGGTCTTTAAGGCTAACTAACACACGTTGAGTGGCTAGCTACGTAAGGCCTATAAACGCTTCGTAGCGAACCATGGTCTTTAAGGCTAACTAACACACATTGCGTGGCTAGCTACGTACTCAAGCCCTACGAACGCTGCGTAGCGCACTATGTTCTTTAAGGCTAACACACGTTGTGTGGATAGCTACGTGCTTTAAACCTAACACACGTTAGCTACGTATTATAAGCCTAGCACACGTAGAGTAGCTTGCTACGTTCTTGAAGTCCAGCAGACGGAGTTCACTGCGTACTTTAAGCCAAACACGTTAATTGAGGCCACACCAAAATTTATCTTTGGCCCATTTCGGATATGCGTTATGGTGCGGCCTTAATGTGTACTTCATCATTCATTTTAAACTAAATTTAAACACACAACTTGTTTCGTTTTTATTGACAACGACGAATTGTAACGCGGTACGTATGATTGCCCGGACGGACTTTTACACAATATAATTTTAGGGTTTCGAGATTCAATACGAAAACAATACGACTCGCGTACTAGCATGGCCCGGCTGAAAACAAATACAAACGGGCTGATCACTGGTCAATTATTTACCTAAGGAGCCGTGGGCACTACTGGATAATAGCCGCAAGCGTTTGTTTTAAAATGGGCTTTCCCTCGATCACTTTGTACGCTCGCAACACAAAGTCCCAGACTACTCATAACAAGCTACAATTGTTGAGCAAGCGAGTCTCAGGTGCAATCGTTGTGAAAGCACCATGAGCGCAAAGCAACAAATGGAATAATGCAAACTCATTCGATACAAATGTCATACAAACTCCGTCGTCATATCCCCAATGGGTTCAAAGAGCTCAGATGATACGCATGCTTATTACAGTAACATTATTGTAGAAATTATATCACATTATGTGATGTATTATATACTTAAACAAACACTATCGCAGTTGAACTAAAAACTAAATGAGGCTAGTGATAAGATCTAATTAAAGACTTATTTCATTCAATATATACTTTTTAGACGCATATTTAAACCCTAATGTGTTCTTTATACGGGTCAATTTAACACGGAACATGACAAAGCAGTAGATTGAAAGTGTACTTAATATTTCTAAATTACATTATTGTGGATGTGTAGTAGTAGTGTTACTACCTACTCAAAAAACCGTGTGAAGTACTTGTGATGTGAGATTGAACTGTGTACAACAGCTATATCGACTTCCATAGACAAAGATCTTGCACTATTGGCTATTATTTACTCAGCTATTAATAATGCCTTCTTATTTTTACTATAATCAACAAACGCATACCAATGAATACCTTGTCACGGTTCTAGTCTATGGTCACTTTTTAGAATATTATATTGATAACATTGTCAAATACTATCCTAGTCATCTACAGACACATGTAATCACAATACTTTTTCGTATCAGTTTTGCGTTAATTTGGTTAACAATTAAAATTAAGTTGCAAAATAGATAATGATAAATGTCATGGATTTAATACTAGGAAAAAATAACATGGAGTATTTATAATAGGTATAAAACGTTCCCCTTACTTCGTTTTATTACTTAGGGGCTAGTTACATAACAATAAGTGTACATATAGATTCAATTTAATGGCACATGACAACACTGTTAACTGTCATGAGTAAATGAGATATAAGTACAGAATATGGGCTCAACCCAAAACTTTAACATGTAAAAAACTTGCTTCAAGATCAACCGGGATTGCCCAAAGATATTAAAATATCTTTACGACTTTATATGTATAATAAAATACTTAGGGGTAAAAAGATCCTTAAGTTGCCCTAAAGTTATACTTTCATTAGATTACATGTTTAAAAACTAAACTCCTTTTAAAAAAATAGACTTCAATCTGTGTACCTACATTGCAAATTGAGAACTGATAATAAAAAAAGCAATATTCTAATACTTACCTCTTATTTTATATGAATATTATAAAAAAATAGTTACCTAGTATTACTATTTTGACGAGTTGAATATTTTGTATTTTATTTATTTCTTAATTTGTAATCAAATTTAAAAGAATAGTGCAGTTGAGAAAATTATAAATAATATCGAGGCGAATAAATTTTAAATCGTGAGAGTACATTTATGTGTGAATTAAACGTTCAATGCTATAATTTTTTATATGTATAGATAATCGTCGTTAGTTGTGCACAAATGTTTGTTATGATGTAATAACAGTAAAATAATAACTGTGAAATGACTATAAAGTAAACACCAATTTACCGGTGGTAACAACCCTTAATGTAAACAATAAATATTTGTTGTTCATGATTAGAGAAGCGTGTGTGCCTAATATATTGTATTAGGCACATTACAAATGTTTGTTATCAGTTGTTCAGATATAGGTACGCTATGTTTCTATGGTTGGATCAAAGTACATATAATTTAAGTACATACGTACTGCTGTAGAGGTTTTCGGCTACTCGAAAGACATGAGGTTGGCGGGCAAGGGTTTCACTATTTTGTTCGTGACTTCTTCGATCTTCGTCACCCATTGTTTGGCGGTTGATTCGGAGCCAGTTCTAGAACAAGCGGAATATTTAAGTTCCTTTTAAGTACCACAAGTTGGTCGCGAAAGTTTGTTCTTCAGCTGCACTTAAAAGGACATAGACATGATACAATTTATTTATTGTGGGTATTCATCAGGCAATATTTGTTTGTTTGATGTCAACGTATTTGGCTTCTAAATAATACACGACAGCGCGTCCTTTGACGGAAACAAATGCTAAACCATTCCTCTAATTGCGTCACTTAGCAACACGTTGGGCTTCACCTTTTACATGATAATTGTTGCATAAAAGGTACACCTTAAAATATAATGAAGCCCCAAAAGATTTGTCAGAACTAATGAACGGTTACAACTGGATTCTGAAAACTTAACTACGTCTTCGAAAGCATTTAAACCTAAATCATTCCAATATCGATTCAATTACTCACTGTCCACAGTCCAAGTTTAGTTGGAAACTACTTCTGAAACGGCAATTCCGCATTACTTACTTGAACTTGTATAGAGTTCCGGAGTGGTGGTTGACCAGTTGGAAAGCGTCCGCCGCGTCTACGTCGCACCACGAAGCTATCCAGCCGTCCAACGACAGAACTTTGCAACGCTCGATGCGAAAATCACTGCGGTTTGTCCTGTTAAAACAGTACACTATAAAACACTCGAGTTTCGCAATATGTATATCTTTAACGTACTCGTAAAGCGCGGCTCGCGCGGTATTACTTATTGATAACTTATTATTTTTTTATTATAATGTTATGGGTTTTGTTTATGTACACTTCCAGATCTACGGCATTAGAGGCACAGACAGAAACTAATTAAAGAAGAAATAGAGTCGAGATAAAATCCAAGTTCGAAAATGTAAAAGCATTTAGAGAATTCTCATTCTAAAACATCATGTTTATCCTCGCTTTTACCGCGAGTACGAGTGACAAACCCAATTAACGTGCTAACTAGAGGCGTGGTAAATAACCAAGAAGCTAAAAGAACACTAAAGATGCGCATGAAAAGAAAGATGGCCCAAATGGCGCTATCGTGAAAGGCCACCTTTTGGGCCACAGCAGACATGCTACTTTTAGCATCGGCAATGGGCGACTTTGCGACTGTATCGATACAACATCGTGATTCCGCGAATTCATGCGTTCGGACGCGGTATCAGAATCGCGCGCTTTAGTGACTATCCATGTAGCATCGCGATTTCGCAACTTCATGCATTCGGACCCGGTATCGGAATCGCGCGTTTTAGCGACTGCTGTCATCGCAGCGTCGAGCTTCCGAAAAGAGTCTCGATCGCCGCGTTTGGCGTTGTGCTTGGCGTGAAATATGTGGTCGCTGCATTCTGGTTCTAAAAAGCGGCTAATTGCCGATTGCCGATGCTAGAAGTAGCATATGTGCTGGGGCTTTAACGACCTAAATTGCTTCAAATACTTAGTATGTAGAAGGCTCCGTGAACTCGCGTCAACGCGGCGCGGTGCCTCATAATTTATTTAGCGGCAGTTGCCCACCCTCGTCACTTGCAAAATCTAGGTATTCGTGGGAACCTAAACTTGTGGCACTTAGTACGAGGTGTCAGCTGTTTATATTCCAAAAGGCCTAGCAAATACAATTTGTCGTATTAACGCCATTAAACGGCTTTTACGAACTCCACAGGTATTCATCAAACAAGATGGTTACGTAAATCAAAGATAGACTTAGTTAAATGTTGTTTGTTCGATGATAGGGCAATGTTAAAAGGCACTAATTAATTATAAATAACATGTATTTACTATTCAATAAAGTATACAGAGATAATAATGGGTAAAGTTATTAAAATTTTAATTTGACTACTCATAAATTATGTTTCGGTAACGCAGAAAGCTGACAATGATGACATCTTTAAAATCTTACTAATATCAAAAATGCGAAAGTTTGTATGGATGTCTAGATATCTGGATGTTAACATGTTTGTTAGGTACTCTTTCACGCAAAAACTACTGAACGGATTTTGATGACTCTTTACAGTATCATTATTAATAATCTTTGACAAACTACATTTCACGCGGGTGAAGCCGCGGGCAAAGTCTAGTCAAAAATAAGTGTGGACTAAATGAATTACGAGTAGGTAAATATTTACAAAATTTAGCTCTTAGGTAGTCTACTAATGCTCTGAAACAAACATTTGGCTTGTGCTGAGAAAAAGCGCTGCACAAAATTCAGAAACGTTTAACGTAAAAGATTATATAGATACGAGGGAACGTTCGCCGCGAGCTTGTAAGCAGCTTACTTCATAAGAGCATTGGAAATAATATCAATTCAACACTTCAGACTTACCCTTTGAAGGATTTCGACGCATAAAAAACAAGTATGTTTCCAGATATCTGCAGCCAATATCTCTGCCAGGATGATAGTGATATTTTTCTGCCATCTTTTGTGATAGTTTTCCTTCGGACGAAGCCTTGGAAGTCGCATTCCAATGGCTCAGATCTCGATAAATTGCTGAAAAGAAAATGCAGATGACGTTTTCGCACAAAAAAGTATTTTAAAAAAAGTTGACAAGCGTAGTGGGCATTTTTCGCTTCGACAGAGCCGAATATCCGCCGCGCGAGGTTTTTTTGACGGCGCCTCAGGCCATGTGCTGGGAACTTGTCCATTTTGTCATTTTACTACGGCATTAATCTACTTTCGGCTCTCACCAAAGCATGGGAATTCACTTGTGGCAAAATTACACACAAAATTGACTGAGCTTTTCCGGACTTCGGCACAATTAACAAAATCAGCGTCCATTTAAATTTTAAGTTTACACATTGTTCATGTATAACATAATCCCATCAAAAACAATACTTGTCAAAAAAACCAAGCCTCGCAACTCAGTTGTTCTACGGTATAAAGTTGTGAGATCCATGTAATACCAAGTCCAGGCCAGGAAATCTTTAACGTTTTACATAAATATATTGACTTGGCCATCGCACTAAATAATTTAATTTACACGTGTTTTCATGATTAAAATTGACCGCGCTTAGTTTGTGTTAATCGAGTTTAAAGACAGACTGCTATAAGTAGGTACTGCTGTATGGATTTTTATGTCATTTCGCCAAAAGAATAATGGGATTACTTACCTAGTTAAAATTAATTACTTTGCTAAACTAATCCATAGTAAACTATTACAAATGAACCGGAAAACTTATTTTTACAACCACGCAGATATATGCGGCATAAATAATCAAATCGTCTCTGATAGTCATACTGCGCGCTTACCTATGAGGCAGGGACTGCGACATTTTGTCTCCCGCCACGGAGCCTGGCGACTCCAATAACGTGTCGTCCAGCAAATTGACTGAACCGGCTGGAGTCTTCTCGTCAACTTTTTCCTCTGTATGACTCTTGCCGAAGATACTGCACAAAAAATTGGTCTTATTTATAAAAGAACTAGCTGCCGCCCGCGACTATGCACGCGTGGACCCCGTTTTACCCCTTAAGGGTTTCGTAAAACCCGTTCTTACTGGAACTCTACGTTCTCTATAAGGAACCTACCTGACAAATTTCAAGTTTCTCAGATTTCGTTATTAATAAATGAGTGGTATGATATCTCACTGATTAATAAGAAATCTGAGAAATTATGGAATCACAATTACAGACACTAAAATAGGTATATTTTCCACTTTGTCACAGCAATGTTAACTAGTAAAAAGTTTATTTTGAGTAGACTTCGTTCGTTGCATAGGATAAGCTTGCCCTAATTGACTTTAAATGGCATGTTTAGATTTAGGCTTATCGCCAGAATAACTCTAAAAGGAGATCAACATTTTAACAGTATACTGTTAACTTTCTGTATAGATCTGCCAATTTACTCAATATGCTTAGGTACATTTTGGTAAACTAACCATAATTTAAATCATTATGGAAAATTAATTGCTGAAGATTGGTATTTCGTCTTATGCTGGTTTTATAATATATTCAATCCTAATCCAAATCCGTCCGTCAACTGTCAAATTTTAATATGTTTTTGGTCAAAATATAGACGGTTTTCGAAGTTTTATTCTTTATATGACTATTTAAACAATATTAAAGTAACCGCATCTAAAACAGATTCAAATTTGACGGTTAAAATCCCAATTTGGACAAGGATTGAGTATGGGAAACGGGCGTTAGACAACAAAATAATTTTCCGGAAGGCAGTGTTTTAAAGCATGTCCAATTTCGTGTAATAATGACGCTGTCATGTTTTGTCACTTACCAACTGCACAAGTTAACACTTTAACAGCGTAAAGAAAAATATGCTTCACTGGTTACGAACCTTTTAGAATTTTGAATAAAGTTCAAAATATGGTGGCAACTATCCAGCAACCACCAGATAAAAGGAGTTAGTTTCAAACTAGCTAGCAATTGAGTAAGCGAGTGTCAAACTTTCAAGCCCAACTTTAAACTTGTATGTTTAATATTTATTAACAGGTGTCATAAGTCGTCCGTTCTTTATACCAACTTGTTTGAAACCAACTTTGAGTGAGTTTGAGAATGCTTAACAATAATTCTCGTACCAGAATTAGCTAGCAATTTCTAAATCGCTGTGTCTACAGTGTTGCGGATTTACGAGGCGCTCTATGCTTTAGTGTTGCAGTGGCGTTTCAATATCAAGTGGATCGCGCACCGCGACGTAAGACAAGCAAGCTGCTCCAAGCCCCGGAGCTTATTACGAGCCCGACACTGTTTACTGAACGCTTTACTACACCTGCTCTTTGTTGTATCCGACCAACAGAGCCTTATTCTGGACCAGAGACCACTTTGGTTTCTATATTGTTCGTCGAGACCATTAAAAATCCTTATTTAAAAAACTAAAAATATCTAAAAATAAGTATTATTTAATTTGAAAAAGAAGTCATATTTATTTAAAAAAGCAACTAAGTACATTTATATCAAATCAATGTGATTTTTGAGCTTGCACCCCTGCTTTATAGTCTCACCGAGCTCGCATATAGAAGGGAAAGCCGAAATGCGCTTGTGGCTGTCAACGGGTTAATATTATGCAATTTCAGTTTTAATAGGCTATCTTATAGTTTTTAAGAACTAACCCATATTATTTGATGGAATAAGCTGGTAGACAAACGTCAAGTAATATTTCTTTCACACTTATTATTATAATACTAGCGGCCGCCTGCGACTTCGTACGCGTGGATCCCGTTTTTTTACCCCCTTCATATTATAATCTTACGCGGTTTAGATTTTTTCATAAAAATGTTTTTTCCCGCTAACTCCCGTTCCCGTGGGAATTTTGCAATATCCTGTTGTAACTAAGCTTTAAGTTTACTAAGATACCTGCATGCCAAATTTCAAGCGTCCAACTTAAGCGGTTTAGATTTTTCATACAAAAGGATTTTCCCACTAATTCCCGTTCCCGTGGGAATTCTTAAGTAGGTATACTATAACCTGCCCAGGAGTACGAAGAATAATTGTACCAAGTTTCGTTAAAATCCGTCGAGTAGCTTTTGTTTCTATGAGGAACATACAGACAGACAGACAGACAGTCAAAAATTTTACTGATTACATTTTTGGCATCAGTATCGATCACTAATCACCCCCTGATAGTTATCTTGAAAATATTATTATATTTCATATACAGAATTGACCTTTCTACAGATTTATTATAAGTATAGATTTAAATTGAAGTTTTCTAGCTAAGTGCCGAGAGTGGAACAAACCACGCATACAAAGTGCAATAGTACACTGAGTTATTTATACAAAACCCTCTTAAATAAACTTTACCTTAAATTAGAAGTGAAATCTGTTACAGTGTATAACTACATACTAGTAAGCATTACTATACTAATGCCAGCGTGAATATAAATCATAATATTATCGGCATATTTTAATAATTAGTACACAAAACGTCTGTTATGTAAATCGTGTAAATGTTATGTAACATGTGATAGCAAATTAATGAATATGTACAAATCACTCGCAATACTATGACCAGTGTTGGAAGTGCGAAAAATGATATCTAGACGAAGCTAGCGCATGCCGGTATAGAACGAGTTTCAAGTTTGTATTTTTAATCATTTACACCAGACATAATCATACTTATAATTCCCTAAATTAAATTGAAAAACGCACTCAAAAATAATCTAATATATTTGTTTAGATAAATACAGGCAAATTTTTTCAAGACTCAAAAAATTTCTTATGGCCAGCGGATTTGAAAGGATACATTTTAGGACTTAATTAAATGAATACAATTTTTTGAAAATTGTTGCCAAGCAATCCGCTGATCACAATTACATCTCTATCAGGCTCTATGTATGGAAAAACATTACGGTTTTTATCAGCGAGATTATTAATGCCACGTTTCTTTAATCCCTGCATTGTGTTAGCATCTGCATCTAATTAAATTCTACACCAATGTCTTCCGCTTCATTGGCTTGACTTTGATCAGGCGATTAACATTCTTCTGATAAATTCACCCCTTTCAATTGGAAAATAACAAAGAAGAAGAAAAATAACTACGCCGGGCATTTAAATATTAAATAGCAAGAAGCTTCTCTAATAGAATTTGTATTTTTTGCAACGCTCGAGCGACCCCGAGCTAAAGCAAAGAAAACAAACGCCAAACAGCTTATTCAGTATCAGGAACAAACTTTAAAAATCGGATACTATCGTAACTTAAGGAAGTTGAAGCTCAGCGGTTTAAGCGTTAAAGATAACAAGGTTTAAGCAAAATGTCCATAGTGGAATATTTTATTTGATAGTGCTACTAATACGTGGGACACTATTTAAGTTGTGAGCCTAACTATGAAAACAAAGTAGTTTATTATTAAAATGGTATTGATTGCGTTTATTGGTATTGTCTTTCATGATTTATGTACTTTTTAATGTGTCCGAAACACTTTTCATAGCATTTTTTCCACTCAGCTTGAGGCACCTCCAAAGCATGGTTTTTGACCGCACCGACAGTTGCTTCTGGCTACATAAATCGCTGTTCACGCATTTAATTTTAATATATGGGTACCAAAAGAAGTGTTTAGATTCCAAGCAAGAATTTTGTAGCGTTGGACCTGTTTATTTCATATTTTGAGTGTTCAAATAGTCAGTTGTTTGACGAGACGTGTAAAAGCTCACATTTTCGTCACGAATGGCGATTCGACTATGCTGGTCAGTTTCCCTTATTAAACTGAAGACTTTTGGAAAAAAAGTGGCTGTTTACTATTAAGAATTAACCATTCTAAATTTCTCTAGTGACGTTTCTGTCATATAATCGGATATTTCGGAAAAATAGGCGACCGTAAGTTTCAAAGTGTTCCGAGCGCATGGGACTTTTGTTGGAATTGGTTCATCTTAAAACACCTCCATAGTCGATAGCTGTTTATTTTCAGGATCATTATGCATAGATCCTTAATTCGTCAACTGTCACAATTTTAAAAACGGCTTTTAAAGCTTTTTAAACGTATTTATCAAACATTTCCAAGGACTAAACGACACAAGCGTCCTATTGAGCGTTTGAAAAATTTTGTGACATCCAGCGAGAAAAAAACGTATTAACCATAATATGGTCATACAATATTTTATTACTGCTAGTGGAATTAATGCCTAGGATTATCTCAATCCTACGATACATCACATGATGAGGTTTATCTTCCATTTTTCTGACAACACCAATGTTTTCCGCCACTATTAGTCATTTTGGACGACTTTCGCAAAGTTCACTGGTGAGCCAATTACATACAATATTATACTTCTTAAACTAGCGTTTTACAATGGTAAAGGACAGATCTTTATCACCAAAAGTGAAATTTAGCTGACCGCTTCAGTTTTTTATTGATCAACCACGTCGAAAGTTATAATAAATCTTCGCGCGAAAATTTCCGCAAGTCAATTCCATGTTTTTGTAGTCAAGATAATTTTCAATTTAATGTTAATAATACAAAACGTGCTCAAATGATAAAAAGTTTTGAATAAGGTTGTAGTCAAAAATGTCAAACTTTTCATTAAAAGTATCAGATGTCGTCTAAAAATACGTTATGTTGTCGAGGCTCACAACTTAAATAGTGCCCTAGTATTATTACAATTATCATCGTAATAAAAATATAATAAATAAAAAACTTGTCAACTTTAATTGTTATCTTAAAAAATATTAGTTATTAATTATTTAATGATGTCCATAGGTTTTACAAAAGGACATCTTTAATTTCTGTATCAATAGTGGTCCATTTTTGTGGATTATAATTATAGAAACGGAATATTTAAAGGTTCTCGCACACTTTGATCAGAGATATAAGGACTTATTAGTCCTTATATTAATATCACACTGAGTCCTTGCATTGGGTCTAGATAGTTTCCAAAAAGCGCTAGAAAGCGTTAAGCATAATACAGGGTGTTGATTTCAATCTTCGCCATTTTTATTTAGGTGATCCATTATGTCTCATATAAACGCATTATCCATAAAAAAAAAATACAAACGAAAGTGGAATTTTTAGCGAATATTTTCCGTGCGACATCAACTGTAGGTACTGTGGCTCACAATACTGCAATAAGTTTACACTGCGGCACCATCGAGCTACGCGGATTGCTCGCTTATCATGTCGGATAGCCTACTGAAGGAAGGCACGTAAAGTAGGCAGTGTAAATAGGTATTTTTCTTTGACTAACTAAAGTTAAAGTTCGTTTTACATTTTTTAAGTAATTTTTTTTTACTGATTCGTTATCAGATTAAGCTTAATTAACTCCTTAAACATGGCGAGGAATGAAATCAACACCCTGTATATCGAAGATACCCCAAATTACGACAAAGTACGCGAAAGCTAAAAGGTCTAATAAATATTGGAAAAAACACACAAACTTTACACGATCTACAGTTACGTTCGTATCGTTCGTTACGCAGTCTATTCGCAATTAAATTGATACAAGAACAACCTAAATACCTAGAAATCTAAAAGAGAACTATGAATGGACTATTAGACAGCACAAGTTTACATAGATCGAGCCACAAGTAGATATTCAATTACGTCCTAACGAACAATCCTAGCAAAATCAAAGATCGGCAATATAATACGTATACTACATATACATTTTATATAAAAAAGGGGGCAAAAGAGCTTGTAGGTCATCTGATGGTAATCACCACCATTGATATTCGCAATACGCGAATATTAAGCTCATAGCAGACTTATCAACTCGGTAAGGGATCAACACCGTATCGCCGTTTCATACAAAGAACATTGACCGCCTCGAGTTGATACGATTACAATCCCTTTCCAAATCCCAAAAGATGTAACTCTGTCGATGCAGGCGCACAAAGACTCGTATTTGGCCAAAGGAATGGAGAAAGAAGATATAATATCCCTAAGGAAGTTATGCGTCATGGAGCGATGACTCAATTACGCAGCCTAGCTTTGTGGTTTGCGTACCGTTTACCGAAAATTAATTATAGGTTAGATAATTGCTACGATTCTTGGAAAAAAGTGGCGGCTATAGAAGAATTTCTTATAAGCTGCTTGCAAGGTTTGCATTTTGCTACAAGGCAAAGAGGAAAGAAGAAGACTTCACTATCTATCAAAAGCAGGCAAAACATAGAAACAAATGATTGTCTTTAAAATATTATATTGCCATTTAAAGTAAGTACTAGTCAAGGGTCGGTCAAACTAACGCGTGCAGTCTGTGTGCGCGATGGCGTACATGATGACGATCAGACAGACGTGTATGAATTCGTAGCAATGAATTCACATCAACGCGTCCTGTCATTGGCCAAAGCGATGTATGCAGGGCCTGCACGCAGCGTTCGGAGATCAGGAGGCGTAGTGTGAGTTTTCTTCAAACGGATTCAATATCGAATGCGTAAAAAAGTGACATTAAATGTATGACGGATTGTGCAGCGCCCCGAGTGGAAACTTTCAAGTACTAAAATCTTCATATTTTTTTTAACGCAGTCGACATCGTATGCGTACGACGTAAACACAACACTAATAACGCCCCAAGCCCCCCTAGACAAAACGCACTTTTTGATCGAATCGAAAATCGAATCCGTCAAAACTCCATACAAAAAAGGGGCTTTTCGACCACTTTTCGACTGGTTTGCGATTATAATTTGCACTTTGTCTAGACCCACAGATCTCGCTTTGTATTTTGACGTTTCCGATTTTAAAATGGCGGAATTTTTTCATGTTAAATGTCTGGAACACGAACGCGGCAGTGCACGCAGACTGCACGCGCAGGTTTGGCCCAACCTTTAGACTACATTTTCGAAAATCGTTAATATTATAACCACATAATATGCAACAGCATTTGCGTTGATGTGCTGTCGTGAGCACAGTTTTCATTTTTTTCTTAAACTTAATTATGCCAACGATCAAATTTATCTTCACTCTAGTAAGTCTTTAAGCTTTCTATCTACTCTGCTAAAGGAAATAAGTATCTTAACGATAGTCTATAGAGGTCGACTAAAGCAATATTTCATTTGAGAACCTACAGATAGTCTTATTGCTATCTTATAACTTGAGTTCTTTATGCCTGGAAAGCTTTGTTTCTTATCATACAATAAATTAAAGCATCTAACATTCACCACAATTTCTTTAAACTAAACGTTCATGTGATAGATAATAACATAACACTTTATTTACAGCTAATTAAAACTAAAATCATTTCTTAATATTCGAGAAGTTAGTTTCTGTTTCTGTCTGCAATGGAGCTTCGCTTTGCGCCATCGTCTCACACAACCAACGCAATGTACAAGTAGCGCAAATAAAAAGTAACATTCCTAAAATATTTAATAATGTGGACTAACAATAAAGAAGACATATTGAAAATTTCATAAGTAATAAGGGAATGCAGTGCATGTTATTATTACAAAACCTGTTTTATTTTTAATCAACATGCAGCATTCGTTAAGGTGTGATCGAATGTTTAATGTGAAATCCAAAATGCCTTCTTCTTCACATTTCAGTAAAATTCACGAGCATAAAACATGCTATTGCCTACATATGCCATATCTATGTTATTAATATAATAAATACTTATATTAATTTATGATCTACCACAATACAAGCCATCTTGTTCATCAACCATAATAAAGAACTCACCCCACACCAAAATTGACCTTGTGAAAATTTCTTGGCAAGCTCGCACTACGAAACCTAGTACCGATCGCAAGAAAAAAACATACCGTTTATAATTGAAACGTCAAACATAAATTAAAACATGATTATGTCTCTGGTAGCAAGAACCATTTTAATCGGTCGAATTTTAATAGATTTTTTAATTGTGTGTTTGTGTCCAAGTGTACACAATGTAGACAAGAATAGGCAAAAGATTAGTAGACAGATCAGGGAGATTAGTAAACAAAACGCCAACCAGATATAATAAACTTAATTAAAATATCTATTGAATTTAATAACAGATTTTAAACAGTTTGAAAGTAAAAATTATATCTGTTTAGGTTCTTCATAAATTCAGTAAATGTGTAAAACAAAGGAGTGTTAACTCAAGTGACAGTGAATTTATTGGAAGTACGATAGGATAGAGCTCTACTAATGTAGTAGCGATGGCATGGGTGTTGTTATACAAAGCTTACTTACTTGGAACCTAGAGAGCGACACTTTCTGTGTGTTGGGATAAACTTAGATTGGTTGTATGTGCCTTGCAGTCTTAGGGAGCCGGAGCCGAGTCGGTGCGAGGGCGACAAAGTATAAGGTGTTGTTAGACCCTGAGGCGCCGTCTCTTTGACAGATTCTTTCGAACCAGCGCAGCTGCCGATCGGTGAGGGCGGCTCCAACTTGAGCGATAACCTGAAACAGTAACAATGGTGAGAAGACAACAATAATAAAGAGTGAGCGCGCCACAGCATGAGATATTTTATGTTCGAATATTATAGCTACAAACTAGATCCTACCGCAGGATAGTCGCATTATCATACTAAATCTGGTTTTAAGTGCAATTATCCATCATATAATTTTCGATACAGTTTACATAACTATCATTCGCTGTATGCACGCTCTATTATGCGCTTTTTTCAACGATAAAATTAAAGAATCTTCAATCTTTTACAATTTATTTTGACGAACTTTCTTCTCATCTAAATTTTCAACTGCACAAATCCTTATCGCGGTGCGGCTTTGACAGCTAGTTCAAACAAGGCTGCAACGCAAACGGAATGCAACTGTAAAGGTAAAAGCAGACAGAAAGCTTTATCTCAAACGCAAGTCAAACGCTTCACGAACATTTGCTGTGTTTTAGTAAAAAAATAAGGTGTTCGGACTTTTAATGGAAAGTGCTTAAATTCATTGTTTCGTCTTTGATTGCGTATGAACTTTACCGCGATACCGAATTGCACTTCAACTGGAGCGTGACTGGAGTGTGGTTTAGAGATGTAACGCGAATGAATTAGAGATATTATAAATTAGCGCAATCAGGGCCCTGGAGTCCATCTTAATCGTTTATTCCATTACTAGCGCGGACTAGTTTACCTTTACAACCAAAACATCTTACTTGTATTGATCATCTTCAAGGAACTTCTGTAGTTCTTCTATATACCGGACGCTGTTTAGGTAAGTGGCTACATGTGGGAGAGGCAGTATGTCGTATTCTGAGGTCTGGTAGCGTTCCAGCGCCTTTAAAACTACCGCCATCTTGGCGATGCGGTGCGGCGACCCGGCCGGGTGCGCAATATCAATATACACCAAGTCCGTTAGGAATATACCTGCAAATAATTCACTCGTTTATTTCACATCAAACATTATTACATAGCTGTTTATGGTCAATACATGTCTCGGTAGACTAGTAATCGGTATTTAAAAGGGAGTTTGTATATCTCAGCCAATTAAATGAAACGAGGCTCAAAACTCAGATTAAACTCGTGTGATAATTTTAATGTTGCCCCCTCCATCCCCCTCGAATTCAATTTACTAATTATAGTTCCTAAATAAGGAATTGCTGATAATAGATTTTTAATAAGAACTAACTAAAATTTTTAATTCCTGTTGGAACATCAATAATTATTGTTGCTGAAGTAAAGTAAGCTCGTGTATCAATATCTATTCCTACTGTAAATATATGATGAGTTCATACTCATACTTATTTTTTTATAAAAAATATACAGGGTGGCCAAAACAGTGAGGTCTAAAAGAAAAATTTAGATTCCTTACATCAAGGTGTACCTAAATCACCCCCATGTATATTATACGATTGTGCTTAGTTTAGGAGATAGAGTTAATTTTGTGATATTTTAAAATTTTATGACCTAGTAGGCTTTAAACATTTTTATCTTTTTTTTGGGTTGACTTTTTTCAGATTTCTTTTTTTCGACAGATTTGTTATGAATTGCAGATGTTTGAAAAAAATAATCACCTTCCTATCTTTGATTCAAGATACAAAAGTTTTGCTAGAAACATTAAATTATGCTTTTATCAGAACACTATCAAATTTTCAACTTAAAAGTTTAAGTAAAAAAAAGAACTTCCATAGGTCCAAAACCATTTTAAAAACTGCGCCGTTTCCTGAACATTCATAATAATACAAAAAAACATGTACTTAATAGTATTATTATGAATGTTCAGGAAACGGCGCAGTTTTTAAAATGGTTTTGGACCTATGGAAGTTCTTTTTTTTACTTAAACTTTTAAGTTGAAAATTTGATAGTGTTCTGATAAAAGCATAATTTTAATGTTTCTAGCAAAACTTTTGTATCTTGAATCAAAGATAAGAAGGTGATTATTTTTTTCAAACATCTACAATTCATAACAAATCTGTCGAAAAAAAGAAATCTGAAAAAAGTCAACCCAAAAAAAAGATAAAACTGTTTAAAGCCTACTAGGTCAAAAATTTTTAAAATATCACAAAATTAACTCTATCTCCTAAACTAAGCACAATCGTATAATATACATGGGGGTGATTTAGGTACACCTTGATGTAAGGAATCTAAATTTTTCTTTTAGACCTCACTGTTTTGGCCACCCTGTATTTAACCAATCACAGGCCAGAGTCTGTGATGATTCAAATAAACGACTTTCAGTTATACTTGTAATATTTGGCTATCCATAGACAGACAAGCGCGATGCGCCCTAGCGATGATGATAGGACATTACGTCATGAGCCTTGAATGGTGGCCATGCAGCATGCTACTGGGTTGATACTGCACTAAATGCATACTACAATTGATCCAAATGCAGTATGCAGATAAAATTAACACCGGACCATCCCGAGCGGTTTAAATAAATAAAAATACAGTAAATCAAAAGAATGTGAATCAGGTCTTTTATCAGTTTTGTCCTTATGAAAGTAAGTATGTTTGAAGTACATAAATAAGTTAATGTCGACATCTCCTATCGGAGACCAAGACACACTTTGAGTCGCTGAGCCATCGGAGTAAGGGCTTGTATACAAAAGTGCAAATCTGTGCGATATGAATTCGAATTCGCAACGCAAAACACTGGGTCACAAATTCCGAGTGGGAGTTTGTGGATTTTTTACGAGTTCTGTGTACATGCTCTATCTAAGTATGTTTGAAACAAGTTCAGCCACCCCGCATCGATCATATAGCCTGACCAGGAACATAAAAACCCTGGCATAGAGGCGCATCAATCGCATTTGATAGTGCAACACTGAGTACAGTCGTACCTGTGTTAAATTAATAGGCTAACTTTATTTATCAGGATTAAGGATTACGGGCTAATTTAATATTTTCATAAATTAACGAAAACATATTATTATAGGTAACCTGGTTTAAATAAATTAAATGAAACCATCAATCGAGCTAGTAGGATTTATTTTATTATTCATCAATAATCAAATTCAGAACTTGAATATTCAACTGCAATGTCTGCTCATGAACGCTTCAAACTCGGTACTTCTTTCCCAATTCCATAAAATTCAACACTTAGAAAGTGACAAAAAACTTTAAAATAGGTAGTTGAAACAAACCACAGCCAATTTTCATAGTGGACTGTACTATACGATAAACATGTCAGTCAATTTGACAACCTTTGTTGGAAACATTATTCAATGAAAATATTGTCCGAACCCTTGGTATTTCTCTTCGACAAATACTTTAACACATTGTGAACCACTATTCTTTCACGACTATAAAAAGATTTTAGCAATTTCATTCACAAAATCAATTGCGCACATTTAAAATAAAGTTTGTTTACACTTTGACAGCAATAGACTGACATGCAAGGTGACATGTCAATGAAGTTTTTAGTTATTGTTGCCATTAAAAGAAATTAGTACCATTAGATTTCCGCAACATGGCGAGGGTTTTTATGTTCCTGGTCAGGCTATACATGGAATATTTGTATTCAAAGGTATTAAAGTGACATATTCAATAGCAACGCCACCATTATATCCACAGTATAAATAAGCAAACAGAAATTTCGTTGTTATCTCTGTACAAATACACCTTGTGTCCCACCGTCATTAAACTGGGCCTTGTGTTTATGCACATATTTACACACAAATATAATTGCTTATTTATTGTTATGTAATTACACAGACCCAGCTTTCATAACGACCAAGTAATAAACATTTTTATTACATCTAATGAGTCAGAAATAAACCGATAATGAATGTTGACACACACAGCTTTCTGAAAAAACAAAGAAATCGCAGTAAACATAATATAAACTGTTATTGTTATCAATAACTATACTCACCGAGATAAGGTATACATGGCAATGCTATACTTTTCAAATATTCTCTCAGTGCAGTCCAGTTATCCTTCTCTCCAAACAACTCTGCCAGTTTATCAAACTGCTGCTTATCCTTTTTCGATAAGCATGCCCATGTTTTCGTCAACCTAACATTAGATAAAAAAAACGATAACGAATTTGTAACTTGTAACATTAAATAATATTATATTTAGTTTAGATAATCTTACCTATATATGCTAGCACATTGTAGTGCGGAAATAATAGCAAAAAGTGAATGCAAATTATTAAGATCATGTAACTTCTTTGCTGCTTTTATAAAATGTGCTAACGTTTCAGCTCTCCCTTTTGGCGATTGGCTATTTAATATTTCTTGTACGGTCCAGAAACTAACCTGTAATGAAATAAACACATTACAATTAAATACAAAAACCTAATCAGTTATGGGACTAAACCAACAGTAGTGCCTATAGCCCTAACATGATCTTTTACTATTTATTGAATATTTCAAATTTATTCATCGCAAAATACATGCACATAAATCGAGTTTTTATTTAACATAATGCACTCTGAAAGGTCACTGCAAAGTTATAATAAAATTATGCCTTTTGGCTACTTATAATATTGTTTTCTTCAGCCACCAAGTTGTTATTTTTTTGTCTTGTTAAATGATAACTAAAGATTTATAAAAATCCTAACACTGGTTAATCAATTAAATTGTACTATTAAGCTATTGCTACATAATTATTTAATTATTATATCACATAAAATCTGTCAGAACCTGTGCTAAGCACGATTGGAATGATCTCATTCGTATGAATGACTGTGTAATGTGAATGATTCGTATGAGTGGGTGTATACCCACAATAGTATTAAACAGAGCGACAGTATGTTAAAATGGACTGCTCTTGATGCAACCAATTCAATACAAAAAAATAACAGGGTCTTATTTGCAATTCAATTGCATGAAGCTGCCGCTGACATTGGGGTTCACTTACAATAATAAGGTGTCTGTCGCAGGAAATTTACCCACTTGAGTCAAATAGTCATAAGATTCTTTCGGAGGTGTGATTGAGTCTACCTATTTATTTTTCCTTTAATATTTGATATTTACACATAATAAACAAACTTGCTTTGCATCAATATTCGAAACAGTGGCTAAAATAATGTGTCTGGCTATCAAAATAGATAATAAATGAAATACATAAGAAAGTTGGCTTGTCTCTTAGGTATAGAATGAAAATATATCTACCCTATTAAACCTCTTCGTAAACGCGACAACATTAGGTGCAACTGTCAATTTGTTGAGCTTATTCCAGCCGCATGTAGTCAATTCCTCTGGTCTGATTGCTTTGAATGATGCCAAGTCCAACAATGTTAGCTGGTTAGCAATGTCTTCCGGTGTCAGTCTTAAGGCTGAACATACAATTTCATCCCATGATTGGTTTATGGAAGATGCTGCAGGCAAACTACTTGTTTTGTATTGGTATAAAGGATCATTTTGCCGATTACTCCCACTCTCTCCGAGACTGTAAACATTTTACAAATATGACACTTAAAATATAATTGATACTCGAAAAATATCATTTATTTCGCTTAATTACTATAATGATTGCTGGTAAAATTTCGCATTGCATGTATGTAGTTTTGAAAAGACAATGGGAAGCAAAACAGGAATTAAGCCAATCATGCTGATGTTTCAGGTTATTTGCCTGATATTTTGGATGTGTGAAACTCAAAACAAGCGTTGTATAAAAGTATGATCACATTAGTTCCCATTTCAAATCATAAAATAATTAAATACATTTTATTCCTTTCATTTATATTACGTTTTGTTATAGAGTGAAACTTACCCATAGTTATAGTAGCAAGCACAATCATCTTTGGGATAGTTTTGTTGGTTGTTAATCGGAGCATTAGTCATTTTTTTTACATTTTGCTTACATGATGAGTTATCCTCTAATGGCCAATTTTCTTCATCTTCATGCTGAAAAATACATGAAAATATTCATGAATACAGAATACATATTTCTGAATGACAAAAATATCGGGAATGGCTTAAATTCACAAAAATATGTTCTGGAAATTGATTTCTGTTTGATGTCTCATATTTTCTGGTTTTATTGATTTGTAAATCAAAATATTTTGGTACCCAATTAATTTGATTCTTTGGTATTTTTAGCTTTAAGGCAAAAAGCTTCTGTTAATTTGTACATTAAAGTTGCAGAAAAAAATGAACTAGGTAGGTAGGTACATGCAAATACTTTTTGATGCCAATCTATTCTATTCATAAACAAGGTATGCCTATCACTTTGTAATAATGCACATAACTTTTAATATAACTTAACATGTCATTTTATTTGATGTAAGATGAATACTTACCTCAACAATCCTCAATACAGCCAAACTATCGCTGAGAATATCCCGTGGCATATTCTGTCTGGTCAGCATAGAACAATCTATTTAACAATGTGGCCTAAAATAAGATTTGTTTTAAGTAAATCATTTAATAAAAGCATTATTTTACCATTTATTGGTAACTAAATATAAGCTTTTCAGCAAAAATTGCCGTTTTTTTTTTCATTCACTCTACCTACATCTTACATCCAATAAGGCTTGAGCCTTAGATTAATAAAACTAAGTCTTGAGCTTAGAAAGAGTTAATAAAAATTGTAGCATTAATTTAAACAACATTTGAAAAAATATATAAAGATTGAATAAGAAGACATACCAATCACACACTCATTTCAAAATAAATTGAAATAAATTAAATTACTTCTAAGAGGAGGATGACCTTCTATTGATTGTTTATTCAAGAAAAACAATTGGTAAAATAGATAATATGAACACTTTATTGTCTTTACAAACTTACCAAATGATGTGAGTGTATGATAACATGGTAATAACAACAGTAAAATTACAATCACAAGATTTTCTGAATATAGATGAGAGAAGATGAATAAAATCAAAAATGTACTGTGTAGATTGGCAAGTAAATGGCAAACATCAAATTTTTTTCGTTCAGAAATAAATTGAGTCAGATTTTAGATAATCATCGATATATCCTTTTTTAGTATGATGTAAAATCATCTCTAAAAATTTTGTTTTACTTCTGTAAGTATGAATAAATTTAGTTTCTTAAAATAATAGAAATGTTTCAGTTTTAAAACTTAACTCTTAATTATTAAAATCGATAAAAAACGGCACTATACTGCAACGCCACTAATGTTTCCATAGACAAAATCGATGAAATGGAAGGTGAGTGGTGGTGGGTGGTGGTGTGGTAGACAACTCAAGTTGGTAGCCCTAGCACGTACAAACTTCCTTTCATTTTAGAATCGTTTCATAACTCTTTTACTATTAATTGAAATTTGTGCAATAGACATTCATAATTTATGTCCCGTAAATAGTAGGTAATAATTTATTTTAAATATCTTTCATACTTTAACTTATGCACTTCGATATTTATCACATAGAAAACATTTGTTGCACGATTTATTTGTTCAAGTTTTGTAAACTGTTATGGCGTTTGTGTCCCGAAACACAACGCATATTCGTATCTCTTTCTTCATTACCAAATAAAATTCATTTGTTGTGTGTAAAGTGATTGAAAAACAAGGTATAAATGTTAAAAAAGCTTTTTCGTGGTGATATTCTTGTATTTAACTATAGTGAACGCCTTTTAGGTTATGTTTCCATCTTCTAATGGTATTTTATGTGGGTTTCAGTGCAACGGGAGATCATTTAGAAGTTTTCTCGAGATTAGTCTTCCCAAAAGTGATGTCTGAATGAATTTCTCACGGTTCTTGGACCTGCAATCATGGTGGGAAGTGCCGTCTATCGCTTATTTTTGTTCCCTCTTCAGAACTGCATTCAATCTTTTGGATTTTGACATAGAAGTGAGTAATTGGTGATTTAATGTTGAAAATTTCGTGGTTTAGGTGCAATTATGCTTTTGAAGCTGAATATCCTATGAATTTTCATCAATTGAGTGATTTTATTGTAGGAGTTGGAAGAAGCTCTTCTAACAGATGGAACAGAAGAGTCTGCCAGCTCTCTCCTCACTGAGTTGATTGTGCGCCTGCTGAACGGTTGTTTAGGCAACAATGACATCTCGGCATTCAATTATCAGGTAATATAGCAAAAACTGGTCATTCAGGATTAAATGAGTTTGTTGGGCTGATATTTACTGACTTGTTTATATTTCAGATGTATCTGAGGCGCCTATTCAGGAGAAAATGTCAAGAAACTGGAAGATACAATCCTTTTAACACTGATATTGATTTTCAGTTTTTACCACTCCGTACTAAAGTAGAAATTTTGTATGCTTTATGTGACTTTCGTTTAGATGCCGAAGATGTTTTTGATTTGTTTAAAAATCTTGAAGCTGAGAGTTTGAGAGTAGAGCCACTTGGGTAAGTTTTTTAAAATACTCTTTTGTTCATAACTATGATATAATTGCATCATTGTAATTTATTAACCAAATATGCCGCCACATCTTTTAAGGTGGGATGACAATGATTCTGCTTATTGGTATTTTTATGGCACAAGATTATATCGTGAAGATATAATAAAGAAACCGAAAGGAAAAAGCAAAAAGAAGAAAAATAAAGAAAGCAGAAAGAGGGGTTGGTTTTATGGTGATGACTGGCTTGACGATGAGGAATCAGAACGTGTATGGCAAGTTGTATGCTTTACTGAAGAAGATTGGACCCACCTGACAGAGAAATTCAAAAAAGCCACAAGCAAGGTTGAAAAAGAGCTCTATAGGTCACTATCTCAAAATTTTCTTCCTGAAATACCTCGACTCTTTCAAGAAAAAGAACGACTACAACGAAAAAGGTATGTGCTATTCAAGTATTATGAAATTTGTAATGATGTCATGTATTACATAAAGCAAAAAATTAAATCAATATAACTAAGAAAATACTTGTCATGATCTAGGTATAGGTGGTGAACTGATATACATAGATATTTGTTGGTGAATCATTTAACAGATAATCTATGTAAGTTCTGGATAACTAAGGATAAATTCACAAATAAGCAAATGCGAATTCATTAACATATTTCTCTAAAAAAAGTTCATCAATCAAAATAAAGCAATGGAATTGGAGCTTGTAAGTGGAGTGCCTTGATACAAATCAACAATATAGTATCACCTATTTTGAAAATTATAAACTTTATATTTTAAATTTATTTATTTTATATTTGAAAATTATAAAAATTAAATAACTATAGTATCACCTATGTTTTGTGTTATAAGCAAAAATAGTTATCTTTTTTTCAAAACAAGTAAACTGGCTGTGCGAGAGTAGAAGTAGGGCAGCTGTAGCTTTATTTAGCTGTGCGAGAGCATTGTTAATACCATTGAATTGAGAAATTCCCAAAGACACAAATTACAATGACGTTGGAACCAATCATTAAATGAAAAGAAAACTATTAGATTAGCATCTTAAAAATTTCACAGCAACAATTCTTAAAATTCAACAGTGCAAATAAAAACAAACAGTGAAACAAATATTTTTATGGATTTATACATGATGCACTAATTTGGACAAAATAACTTTCCCTTAATCGCAAGCCTTACCTTTACCTTAGTCTGCAAGAATAATATGTTGATTGGTACAAAAGCAATACTTATCAGCCTATGAGCTATACTGATTTGGATGATTGATGTTTTGTAACTAGGTTGCATTTGCTTGCGATTGCGATTTTACAATACATAAACTTTATTGCTCAGCTGTGAACATGCCTCTACAAATCTAAAGGGATTGAGTTACACTTTTTTTTATTAAATTAAAAGCTAGATTTCAAGTAAAGTTTGGTTTAAAGTAATACAGGGATGCTAAAAGTGCTTTTTACTTGCAAAAAATCAATGAGTTCTACTACTTTCAAGACAATTTATGGTTACTTGATTGGTTGTTGTTACTTTTGTTTTGTTGCTCATTCGTATGAAATTATAGTCATAGCAACTAATATTAATTGCAAAACTTTATTGTACTATCGTTTCTTGTTATTGCTTTCATTAAAATGAAAGCAAGAAACCTTTATCTTAACAAATGTGGATGTGCAGACCAAATCAAACTAAAGTCCAAAGAATGATAATGCTGTTTACTGTCGTAAATTTTGTTTAAAAAAACGCGATAGTAATAGTTAGTCAAGGTTCCAATTCAAAGACTTGTACAGCAGCAAACCAATGCAAAATCGATTCACTTCAAAGTTTTACTCGGTCTGTGGATTCTGCAGTGTGGATTTGGATAATAACACAAATAACTAAATGCTTAGAGTACTTAAGATTTTAACTTCCATTAAGTTTTGCGAGGCGATCTATTGATGCTGATAAAGTTAACAGTACCTTGTATCTTTTGCCTATAACAAAATACTTGAAAACTTGATACATAATATAAAATCAGTTTACAAACAACAAGTGCATAATTAGTTTGAGGCTTAAAATATTGACGAGTAGGGACTATAAAGCGAGTGACAGATGCTAACAGCGTTTGCGAATGTTAATTTTATTCAGTATCTATTACTTGTGCATTATAATTATTACTGAATGGAATTTGTAACTTATAAAATTTTTTTAGGTTACTGGAACTTGCACCGCGACGAACATCTAGTCGCGTGCTCCAAAAAATAAAACAAAAAGCAGAAGAGAGCAAACAGAGCACGCATGACGACAAGGAAGAAGAAGAGGAAAGGAAAAAGACACCGGACAATTCAAGGGAAAGTAGAGCTAAACGAAGGAATTTACTAAGGTACAGAGTTTTATGTGGATAATAACATGATTTAAATATAAATGTTGCAGGTATTCCAGAAGTCCAATTCTTCTCTTATTAATTACATAAAGTAGAGAAGATTATTTATATTTGTATCATCTTTCTATTTATAGATCTAAATCACCATCATCGGATTCATCGGACAGTTCTGAAAGTGAAAGAGAGGAAATGCCACAAAAGGTCACCAAGCAGGCTAAGGGCCAAGACAAGAGGTCAAAAAACTCCTCAGCTACGCAAAAAGGAGAACCTCCCCCAGAACCACCTGTAAAAACAGGCAGAAAAACAAATAACTCGCTTGCTTCTGCCACTGGTCAAATAGTGATCCCGGACAATGACGAGCCTGTCAGCAGCACACGGAAAAAACTCAAGACTTCTCAAATGTAAGTGTGTTTCATACATCAGCTACTTATAATAATACAATTTTATCAATGTTATATTTTATAATAATACTTTTTCATTTTATACCTTTTAGATTCAGCCAAACAGAGGAGGACATCCAAACTGATATGTATAAAGTTCTTGAGCAACTAACAGCACATGAAGATGCTTGGCCCTTTATGGACCCCGTTGAAGAAGAATATGCTCCTAATTACTATGCAGTCATTAGGCGCCCAATGGATTTACGTAAAATGGAACAAAGACTTGACACAGGATATTACACAGATTTTTCAATGTTTAAAGCAGACTTTAAGCTTATTGTTAACAACTGCAGACTTTACAATGGTCAAGACAATGGTAAGTTATTACTACTACCTACATACATATAAAAGAGTATGATTTTCGTAATAAGTATAATGTTAACGTTATATGTATTTGTATTACAGAGTACACATTGATGGTGGACAATTTGCAAGCTGCTTTTGACCGTCTTACGGAAAAATACATGCATAGATTATCATCATCTGATGAAGAAATTGCAGTTGAATATCAACTGCCTACTCCATCTCGAAAACACAAATTAAAGGCCAGTGAATCTCCAAGTCGACATAAGAAAAAGAAACGGAAATCTCATTCTGATACAGGTACTAATTATAATATCTATAGAATCATGTTTTAGAAACTGAATGTAATCAAAAAGCAACTGACACTACAAAAGACAATGCCGACCAAACCTTGTTTTTTTTATTACAAAATAGTGTAATAAACCAAACTTACTAAGACATGTATGCCTCTAAACTCAGTCTGAACTGAGTTACAAGCATTAGAAGTTTGAT